TTTCAAATAATTTCGTAATAATATTATTAAAATGAGAGACACTCAATTCAATGTCACCATTATAATTAGGCCATATTATTGAAGAAAGTTCTGTATTTAACGTTTTAAAATTAGCTTTTGCAAAGTTAAACCGAGTACAGAAGCACGAAGTTTGATGATTATTATCCCGTACATTGCCTGAGATTTCGACAGATATTTCCAAAGCAGGATGATATGAGTCCCCTGGTAGAACAAGAGGATTACTCCGAATAACGGAACACTTTGAAGAGGTATCAATGTATATCAAATCTAAGTATTTACCAAATTTATTCGGAATTAAAATAATTTGGTTCAGACCAAACTCGGACATTTTTTCGAAAAACTCATTAAAACATGACCGATTGCAAATCGGCACGATATAGTCATCGAAAGGTTTCCACGAAGCACACGGTAAATTGAAATCACCTAATACAATTATTGAATCTGCATTATTTGCCATCGAGGTAGCACTATTTATTAACGAAGCATGCTGCATGTATACAGATAAGTCCGAATGGGGTATATGATAGGGTTAAATAAATAAAGCAACAATTAACGTAGACTCTATTACATTTAAATTTAAATGAGTCGGCCCCTGAAACAAGAACATTTTCAGATGGGATAGAGGAATGCAGTCGATCACACCTAAAAATTTCAAATTCGCTGTTTAAAATCTCATTATCAAAAATGTGAGGTTTTAACCAAGTTGCTGTAAATCCAATTATATGGTTAAAATTGGAACTGTTCAAATACAAGTCGGTTAATTTTGTATTAAGACCTCTAACATTTTGATAATAAATGCTTAGCGAATTTCTACCAATCAGTTTTTTGTATCGATTGTTGCTTTTGGTAATTTAACAATGTTTTCCTCAGTTTGACTTCTAAGTTTAGGTTTAAATTCGCGTACAAAAGCCCCAGGTGGCCAGAATAAACTATCTAAGATCTTTTTGAATGTTTCAAGAGATACGTCTATTTTAAACGATGATATACTTCTATCATAATTGAAGTTAAATTTACGGATATTGATATCATCGATTTTTAAACGTAACGAAATGTAAGATTTAATGTCCTCCACCAAGGTATCTTTGGCAAGTCTCGAAATAAATATAGAGTTTTTAGGTGGAATAACTATCAAATTATTAACTAATGCTACTAAGTTATTAGGGGGGGCGTCTGGAATTGTGAAACACTTATTACTATTAGATAGAGCTTTTGGAGAATTGAGCTGTTTGGAAGTTGACGGCTTATCACCTTGAGGGCAAGGAGAAGAGAGATTTATTAGGTCATTGGCAGGAGACGTTCTTTTATGTACAGAAGAACTTAGTGTTATTTCATCGGAAGGACGTTTACGCTTAGGAGCAGGTTTAGAGGATTCGTAAGAATCATTCAGGCACTTAAAAGATTTGAACTATTTTTTATAGTGCCTAAATTTTTCAGTGAGGGTTACAAGATCTCGACCGATTTCGTTAAAGCCATTGCGTGTCTTCCTATAAACTTTAAACGGATCGATTTCAATACATCTATAACTTAAACAAGACCAACGCAATCCCTTACAGTCGAGAATAGAATCTAAGATTCTACCTGTCAGTCCACCACATTTAATATGGGCAAGCCCATCACAAAGCCAGCATGAAACGTAGCGATCTGACTCGCCTTTAATGTTACGATTGGGGAAGTTACAAGACATAATAAAAAACAAGAATGAAGATCAAATAAAAGAGTAAGTAGAACAAAATTTAATAGGTATAAAATAAATTAGTGTGTTAATAAAATATTAATAATAATAAATTCAATTAAGAACAAACGCAAAAATAATAGCAATTTTTTTATCAAAGTTTAAAACCAAGACAGTTTTAAAAAGCAATAGCGAGCAGTTTTAGAAGCACTGTAACAAATAAAAAGCTAAACGCAACACAGCTGTGAATAAAGAAGTAAATGAGATAAATAAAGAGAGGAAATAGAATAAAATAAAACAAAATGAAACAAAAAGCTGACTCGGCACCAAAAATTCGAAAGTTCAAACTTTTTAATACTGCACAAAACTTAGGAACATTTAATACTTATCTTGCAACACAGAGTTAAATCACTAAAAGTTGTATTTAATCAGTAAAAAAAATCAATTAAACTTGAATAATTTTGTAAAATAAAAACACAAAAGTTCACAGCCAAAAAATTACAGCTTAAGAGCTTGAAGTGTTGCCACCTTTCCTATTTAGGGCTGGCACAATATGTCTTCTAATAATATCGATTAAACTAGAGCAGGCACCGATTATAATGACTGGAATGAAAGTTTTCAAGGGGTTTTCAGCGAAAACTGTGTTTTCGTTTGACAAATTTTGTATGGATGATTTTCGCGTAAAAACCTCTTTTGTCTATGACGCGCATGTCGTTTCAAATTCGTAAGTACAGAGAATATTTGAAGTAATATACAAATAATTAAATTTACAATTAAGTAAACATTTCTAATGTTCTGAAATACCCGCTGCACACAATAGTTTTCCTGATTTTTGATAAAATTAGTAAAATATGGACATATATATGGCCCATTTTTTAATGGCTTCTTTCTTGTGTTACATTATCGTAAATGTTGTTGATATATAACAAATTTGGATGTTTTATTCTTCGTAATCAATAATAGTAAAAACTGAAAACTGTGGTGTAACATAAATGGCACAACCTAGAAAAATAGGGTAAATTTACTTCAAATTACATATGTATCAACATTGGTCCGTAAAAACATTTTGGTTGATAATATTATGTGATCTAACTTTTGTTTTAGATAACTGCTCCACACCTGCGAGCCATACTCATCTCGAGATTTTGACACCTACCATTAGGTATAGCGTACCAAGCATTTTTAACGGCAGGCCAGAGATCGTCTATATTTTTGTAGTTTACCTTTGCAGTTTCAGAGCTGACTTCATTTTAAAGGTTTTTAATTGGATTCAAGTCATGGCTTACAGAATAACTTCAAACGTCTTCAGATAAGTCTGCAGAATAAATTTAAGCCCAATGATTGGTTAATATCGGGTGCTATCTTCCGCGATGATTTCAATGGATAAAATTTCACAATCTTTACTATAGCAGCAACCCTACGCGCATCCGCTCTTGCCTTCCAAATCCTGCGTTTGACCAAAACATGCGCCATCGGCCATTCTTTTGCCCATGTTCATATTTTTTCCAAATTATCCAGTTTTTCAACAACAAAAAAAATGATTTTTTGATAATTTTATTACAATCTACGCGGCAAAGTAATCTGTGCCATTTATGACGGTAAGCAAAAAAAAAAATATAACGCAATATTTGGAAAGTATATTAGAATTTTGGTACAGCAGCACCAAATCAAACGCAAAATTCTAACATTTTAATCGACTTACAATTAAAATATTTTAGCATATACAAGGTGCGTTCCAAAGTAAACAGTACAAAAATAACAAAGTAAACTCTAGTGGCGCCATCTATATGTCGACTAGTGCGTTAGAATCTGCTATCCTTTATCGACTTCCAGTAAAAATTTCATGACATTTGATCTATTGGAAGTGAAGTTATTGAGTTTTAAGTGTCAGTATGTTTTTGTCATCGGTGCGAAAATGAGCTTCGAACAAAGAGCCAACATAAATTTTTGTTTTAAAATTGTTAAAACTTTTACGGAAACGCTTCCATTGATGAAACAAGTTAATGGCAATGATTGCCTATCTCGTAGCGGAGTGCACGAGTGGTTTCAACGTTTTCAAAGTGGTCGTGCGGACATAAATGCGAAATGAGTCGAAACCCAAAAAATCGCGCCTGGAGAAGTCAAAAGTGAAGACAATACTGATTTGTTTTTATGATTCTAAGGGTATTGTCCACAAAGAATTTGTTCCACCCGGCCAAAACGTTAATGCGATATTCTACCTTGGAACTTTGAAGCGTTTGGTGCGCCGTATTCGACGTGGAGATACAGATTGAAAATCGCTAGAGGTCAGCTATATAATCACTTAACTTTAAAGGGGTTTTTCTCGAAACTGTGTTTTCAAAGTCGGTTGTCAAGATTTCTCTCGACATCGAGAAATTTTTTACCAAAATTTGCACTTTTTGTAAAAAAAAAATAATGTTGTGATTTTCACTATTTATACTCTTTCTATATGTTGGTACAGAGTATAATAATCTTTTTCACCTAACGGTGGTTTGTATCACCAAAACTAATTGAGATAGATATATATAGGGCTATGTAATATATCGAGGGACTGTCTGTCTGACCTCCCGTCTGTGGAAGCTGTAACTGTTGAGTTAACACTGAGATATCTCAATGAAAATTGGTACCGCCTATAACTATTCAAGTGCCCAAATACCGGAACTGTGGGCGCCAGATGTGGACTGTGGATGGCTGACCTTTGGCCGAAAATATCGATCAATCTGTGAAATATATAACTAAAATTTGGGGAAAATATTTTTCTGATATCTTTGTGTCAAAAATGGGTTGAATGCCGTCAATACTTCCCTTAGCCCCCATATTCCTAACATAAAGATTTAGAAGCTCCAATTAACTTTATACCACATACTATGTATCGGCCAATGTGCTAGTTATTTCAACAAAATTGAAAAAGAGTGTTTTTCTAATAACAGTGTATCTTTGTGTCTAAAATGAATAAAATCGGGTGAAAACTTGTCTTAGCATAAACAAAGCCCTTCTTTACTTGTTTTAAACAAAGTTTTGGAACCACTGAAAGTATTTCTCAGACTTTGAACTTACCAGAGTGGGAGAGTATAAAATGTTTGGTTGCACGTGAACTTAATGCTTCCTTGCTTGTTTTTATATATAATATTTCTATTAATTTAAAAGAATGTGTTTCGCGGAGCTAAAATTTATTTAATAATTCAATAAATGTATATACGAGTTTCTTACAATTTAAACATAACCTATATTGTGTTTCATTTTGGCTTTACTTATTTGTAGTGGTTATCGGAAATGAGTAGTTATTGATTGATTTAAATTCAAATACCTTAGTAGACATTCCATGTGCTCTGAGTAAACATCTCGTAATATTACGATGGGGTGTTTGCAGGGATTTGATTTCAACAATTTACGAAAGTAGGGGCTGCAGGCACTGAGCACAACTCTATGGGCAGCAAATGATCGCTGATCACAAGATATAGTTACATCCACAAAGTCTTCCTCATCTCGCAACCGTTGAAAACAGTTAACTATAGATGATTGAAATTCACTCCATTTCAAAGCATAGAGTTGATGATGCTGTTCATGAATAGTTAATTTTTGAGATAAAGAAATCTGCTCCTTTTTTTCCACAGGTATTAAATTTTGCGATATTGAAGACATTGTGCTTTAATTAAATTTATAAATTCCTTTTTAAATAAGTGCAATTTGGTGATATCCCGGTTGAGTTCTAAAATAAAAAAATTAATAAATCTCATGCAATTTTTTGTAGATAATATGGTATGTATGTACATATATGCATAGATATATGTTGTTATTAATAGCATGTCTATACATATGTATGTATACATACTAACTATGAGAGAAAATATAATATTAAAAAAAATTGAGAACAAGCTAGTCTAAATAGGCAATATCTAGAGCACAGGCGGTGATGTCTCTTTACATACAAAACCACTTGTTATGTGTTACTGGATTATGTGAAAAATTGAATATGGTATAATTCGTTTCAGTTTGAAATTTTGCAGAAACGCCGGACTACTATTTTTAAAGAAACAGGTAGGGAAAGCCTAAGTTTGTAATTGAACGTTTTATACTCTTGTGATTTGCCGGAGAAATATTTTCCGGTGTTGACAAAACATTAGATTGAACTAGTTAGCAAGGGCTAAACTTGGGTGCAACCGAGCATTTTATACTTTCGCAATTTGCAAGGATCAATTACTTTCACGTGTTGACAACACTTTATACTAAAGAATTAAGAAAGGGCTATGTTCGTTTGTAACGAACATTTTATACTCAACATTAAATATTCGAAGAAACTGAATGGATTACAATCAAATTTGGTATCTTATTAACTGATGTATATTACAAGTCGTGGACTCACTTAGTTTTATTATTTTATTTCGTGGCCGAAGTATATAATTAGAAAGTATCAAGATGAAAGCTGAAGAAATAACTTCAGGTACTGGTAAAACTTTTTATTAAAAAATATGGCAATTTAATGCAATATTCATTTGTTCGACGAAATCGTCGATTAAAATCAAATCAAAAAGTATCTTGTTAACTTATACCTATTAAAGGTCATAGGCTCACTTAGTTGTATTACTATATTTTACCTTTCATTAGTGAAAATTATACTGAAATGAGATACAGGTATATGTGACATTTATTCTTCCAAAGACTCTAAATTTAAAGTATGTATTAGGGTGGAGCGAAAAAAAAATTTTTATTTGTAGATTATAAAAAACGAAAATGTATGGAAAAAACAATTGTAAAAAAAAAATTTTTTAAACATCTAGAGGTCTCACTTTTAAAGTAAATTTTTTGTCCAAAAAAAAATTTTAACTCGAATTTTACTTTAAAAGTGAGTGAGCCGCCTCTATATGTTAAAAAAAAATTATAAAATTAAATCTAAGAATATATTTTTTTCCAAAAAAATTTTTTGTATTATCTACAAATTTCCCTTCAGGCTAAGCAAAAAAAAAAAAATTTTTTCGCTCCACCCTAGTATGTATTTACAATAGTTGATAGAGAAAACGTTAACTACAGAGTCGGAGTTCATTATTTTAGAGATATGAGGTTTAAAACATTGCCTAGATTGCCAATATCTTTCATATTCAGGGTTAAATCACATAAATTTTAAGAAAACTTAAGTGGGCAAGTTTTAATTAAAATATCACACATTTTGGTCAAAATAAACGGTTTAAAGTCAGGGAGAAATTGGGAAATCACTATAAAGGGTATAATGCAGGTCGGTCTGCGCCGATTGCATTCAATTTTGATATTGCTCAGATATATCTGAGAACATATTTTCAAGTAATTTTATAAATAAATAACTCACACACTGACGAGATATTCGGCATAAAGTTTGTTAGAATAAAATATGATAAAATCATTATATGTGATATATGGAAGTTGGGGTGATCGTAGACTAAATTCACATATTTTCGGCATTAAACTATATGAAACAAGAAAGCAAAGGCTAAGTTCGGCTGTAACCGAACATTTTATACTATCGTAAAGTCAAATGGTATACTCGTTTAAGATTTTTTTTGTATATTTTCTTAATGAGAAGTAGGAACTGTTACCTCAGTTATTTACATTCCCAGTGAAGTTAATTACAGCAATTCGTAAACTAAATTTACTCAAATTAAGAGAAAATAGATTATGTATATGAGGGCTATAGGAAGTATTGATTCAACCCATTTTTGACACAAAAACATACTATTATCGAGAGTTTCATTTATTTATTTAATTATATGAATCTCAATTATATATCTTACACATTGACCGATATTTTCGGTAAAAAGTCAACTATAGTCACTGGGGTCCACATATTCAGTACTTAGGGGCTTGAACAGTTTTAGTTCGATTTAGACAATTTTCGGTCACAAGGTGGTATACTTTAAATGTATTTCTCACTCAAAGTTGTACCCCAATACAATCATTGTTGCTTGATTTGCATTTCAACTACACCGCACAACACACCACTCACATGACAACATTGGCACACATACCACTAACCACACACAACACGCAATTCTGAATACGGCAGGAGAGGTCCTGGAAACCATAATATGTAAACGGCTTGAGAAATACACTGAAGGAGACTGTGGATTGTAGCCAACGCAGTTTGGTTTCCGGAAAGGACGAAGCGCCGTGGATGCCATAGACACTGTCAGAAAACTAGCAAAAAAAGCACTGGAAGGTGATGGCGATGGGGTGATAAGCAATACTGCGTTGTCATTACCCTCGACATAAAGAACGCCTTCAACTCGGCCAACTGGACGCTAATTATAAGAGCCCTGAAAGAGCTAAAGGTCCCGGATTACTTTTTTCGAATTATTACGAGCTATTTCGAAGACAGAGTTCTGGTTTACGATACCAAACACGGCCCCGAAACATACAAAGTTACTGGCGGTGTCCCACAGGGGTCAGTTCTTGGTCCTGTCTTGTGGAACATAATGTATGACGAAGTTCTAAGAGTAGTGGTGTCGGACACAGTAAAAATAGTAGGATACGCGAACGATATCACGGTTGTAGTCGTAGCGAAAACCCTAAAAGAAGCGAAGAACAATTGCAGTGAAGCCATAAGCCATGTTAAAAACTGGCTAGAGAACGCCGGCTTAGAACTAGCAACACATAAAGCTGAGGTGGTGCTAATGAATAGTCGAAAGAATGTTGTAACCATTGAGATCAACATTGATGGGCACACCATAAAATCGAGCCCTCACCTCAAATATTTGGGAGTGATTCTGGACCACAGACTCTCATTCAAACAGCCACAAGCGGCGCGGTCTGTGTCGGCAATCGCTAGGATAATGCCCAATACGCGGGGCCCTAGACAGCAAGTGAGAAAGCTACTGACATGTGTCAGTAACTCAATAATTTTGTATGCGGCACTAATTTGGCTACCAGCAACCAAATATAGCTCTTATATGAGAGGATTGGTCTCAACACACAGACTAGCATCACTAAGAACGTGTTGTGCATTTAGAACAGTATCATATGATGCAATAAGTGTTATCTCAGGTAGATCTCAGAAAAGGTGAAATGCGTCAAGTACGGGAAGGTGGACCCACTCCTTTATAACTAATATTCAAGAGTGGACTATTTATTACCTTACACAGTTTTTATCTGGCCACGGCTGCTTCAGAGCATATCTATATAAATACAAGCACGTTGAAACACCTTCCTGCATATACTGTGAAAATTACATTGGAACGGCTGATCACCTCGTGGTAAAATGTGTCCGTTTCCGAAATGAAAGACGAATACTATCTGAGAAACTAGGGAAACCTCTACCAATACGTTACACTGATGTTGTGTGTCATATGCTATCCTCCCAAATTGGCTGGGATACAGTATGCGGCATAATATCGTATATTTATTATGCAAAAGGCCCGCGAAGATGAAGTAACTGAAAGATCGAGAGCGCAGTCTCGAGATACTGCATTACAAAACTAAGACGTCCCCATAAGGGAATATAAATAAAGAAGCATTATTGTTTCCGCAGAGAAACACAGGTCTGAGATCAAAGGGGTGATTTAGCACGTATGCGCTGTACACTTTATATTGTACAGTGAATCGGGCATAATTGATGGTACGGGCCATACAAAAGCTCAAAAGTGGTTTAACAGTGTATACATATATATATATATATGTATATAAAAAAAAGTAGAAGAAATAAAAAACATAAAACCATACTTGTGTGCTGGCGAGAAGCTCAAAAACAAAGTGTACTGAAAAAAAAGGAGAAGACAAAAAAGTGCAGTAACCACAACAACAATAAAAAAATGTATATATATACATATGTTTTTGGTGCATAATTAACAGTGCAGAGACTCAAAGCAGCAATACTTATACAAAAACTAAATGGGCGCGGAAAAACAAACAAAATACAAATAAATGAAAATGGGCGCGAATTAAAAGCCATATATATGTTTATATACATACTAACACATAAAACGGACGCGAAATTAATACAACCAAAAACCCCTAGGAACATCCCAGGAAAGGATTTGGATGCATTTACAGGAAGTTCCCCAAAATCCCTTGACGGATATTCAAGTGAGTTATGTCGATTCCGTTTTGTATTTCATTACGGCAGTGTATATGTATATTTATTACGGTTTACATTTAATTTCAAGCCGGTTTGAATAACACAAAAAACAAAAAAAAACAAAAAAGAGTGGCCAAACGGTTTAATTTTTTCGGAAAAACCGAAATAGCGCACATACAACAGTTTGGCATAATATATATATAGTAAATATATACATATTTTTATTGCCTATGAAAGCTTACCTTGGTGTATTAAAAATAAATATATGATATATGTATATATATAATATATATATATATATGTATATTATATGTATTATGCCAAACTGTATATATACTGATATATAAATATATATAAAATTCAAGTACTCCACTTGTTCAAACATCCGCCAATACCTCTTGATCAAGTAATAAGCAGGATTGCCTAAACCAAGTAAGCAAAGGCAACTAAAAAAAACAAAAAAAAAAATGAAAAAATAAACATATGCATATACCCATAGCAACATATATAGGTATATGGCATTATCGGGAACTTCTTTGAAATTATCTACTCGAGTTTCAATGAGTGATATGTCCTCATTTGTCATAGTACCAGATTGCATATGGTTTAATGCAATTGCAAAGGCCTGATCCTCCCGTTGTCTCATTATCTCTGTTAATTCAAAGTAT